GTACCTGTATTGTACTTGTGAATAGCCCGGCCGGCGGCGGCGGGCTGGGCCCCGGGACGGGGGCGCCGGCGGGGAAGCGGGAGGCGGTACCTGTATGCGTTGTACACGTGAATAGCCCGGGTCACGTTGCGCTCGGAATTGGCCAGCCGCCCCCGCCCCCGGGCCGCTCGCGGGGGCGGGGCTGGGGGAGCGCCGAGGGGCCGGGGGCGCTGCGGGTTTGTTAGTCCGTTTCGCATGGCGGGCTCTCTCTTTTGGAAAGCAGTAGATAACATCTGTGTGCCTCCCTGCGCTTTCCCGAGGCGGGCCTGGCATCGAAGGTTACGGCTCCCAAGACATCGGATATGGACTAACTGTACAAGTGGGCACCTTATGCAGCCCCTGACCCCAGAGGCGTGGCGCGGGAGGAGAGCGGAGCTGTGTTAGGCTGGTGGGGGAAAGGGTGAGTCCGGGGTGTGGCTATTGGGGTGGGGGAAAGAAGAGGGACGGCTGTATACTTACGAGTATTACTATTTTTCTTTTTCTTGAACTTCATGTAACTGACTCAGCGTGGCAGATTGGAGCGCAAAGCACAGATTAACGAGGTTAGTGGAGTGAAGAAGTCAGAATGGGGACGGTTTACTGTTTGTTAGGGTATTTGTCAGCATCTGGTTGACTTGGTTTTATTTTGTTGCTGCAGAGGTATAGCAGGGAGCTGGACACCAAAGGGAGATGGCGAGCAGAGCGCCATAAGAAGGTCGGTTGGCACGCAGCAACGGAGGGAACAGTGCCATTGTTGGTGCTTATATGACACTCTTGTGTTTTTGAAGGCGCAAAACAACTTATGAAATCACATGCATAGTGGAGCGTCCATCCCTGAGCATGTTGGGCAAGGTGCGTCACCAAACTGTAGCAGCAGTTATTTTTGAGCTGTCAAGTTGTTTGTGAGCGGGTGACCACTTACAGGCACAACAGTCACTTTGTCTCTTCAGTTTTCTAGGTGCCACGGATGACGGTGGCCACAACATCCAGTGTTACACTGGGAACAAGCGATGAGAACGTTATGGCGCTTTTGAGGAGGCTGTCATTGCAGAAGAGATCAGTGTTGACTGGCATGAAACTGACTGATGGCACTCTTTGCAGATAATGAAGAGGAACCGGGCGATTGCAGCAACATCCTAGTTAGCCTAGGCGGTCTTTGTCAGGACGGATTCTGACCCCCAGCCCTCTGAAAGCTAAGTTGAGGGTCTGATGCTATCTTTGCATGGAGTGGCAGGGAACAGTTTTAAATTCAGTATAGTGGAGAGGACAGTTCAGGATAGGACATGTTTGGGTAGAGAGAGGGTCCAGGGTCTTTTATGCAAAATACAAGTGTGTGCCAGGCAGGGAATCTAGATGGTATTCCTAAATGGAAACAAGACCTCTAGATTTGTTAAGCTATTGCTCCACATCCGGGTGACTTGTTCAACGTTGCTTTTGCAGATGCAGAGGGACAAGCCATGCGCCAAAGGGCAATGGAGCAGAGGTGAGCAGAGTGCTGTAAGAAGGTGGGTTGGTGCATGGTGTCAGAGAGAAGATGCAGCTGGTGGCTATACGACTAACTTACAGGTTTAGCTTTTTTTTTATTTTGAAGGTGTGAAGCAGGATATCGGCATGGCAGCTAACTTGGGCAAGGTGAGCGATGACTAGTGGGCTGAAGTAGCAGTTATTTTTCAGGTGTTGTGTTGTTGGTGAAGTTATAAGCATCCCTTGTTTTTTTACACATGATATCCGAGCCTCAGCATGGCAACCTGTAAACAGCAGAGGCTGGACGGGCAAGTGGCCAATGTAAAGGAGCAGGAGATGGGAACAGGGGCGTGCAAGCTGCGGTTTTAGGCAGTATCTCAGCATGTGTCTTTTGCTTTGTTTTTTGCAGGTGCTGCAAACAGACTCGGAGGGGCAGAAGCTGTACACTGATGAGCAGTCTGAGAAGGTGACGTGGTTGTCAGACGCGTAGGTGACTAAGAGCAGAGAATCATGTGGCAGCTCAGTTAAGCATTTCTCTTTGGTTTTGCAGGTGCCACGCAGGCCACCTTTGGAATTGGATGAGCATTTGAAGTGAGCAATGGGGGTGGGGGGAAGTGCAGTTAGAACTGGATTTCTCAGCTACAAAAGCAAAGCTGCCATGACACAAAGGTAAGATGGTGCATAGGAATGCTGAGGAGAACTCACACAGCACACAAGAAATGAATGTCACACTATTTTCTACTGACTTCAAAAATAAAAATAATAGCACACTTTGCAACACTAAGCACAGTCTAATAATCTTAACTGTTTCTTTCCAACCTCCCACCATCAGCAGAATGCTGTTCAACCCCCTCAGCCTGAATGCCTTGTTTTCCCCATTTTTTACAACAGCGTAACTTCTCCGTTTCTGAGGTGGTGTCTAAAGTACAGCTATCTATTACAGGCAGTTTGGTTTAGTTCACAATGTTTAGACTGGACTGAATCAGCTTCTGCTTCTATTTCTGGAAATCAGAAAATTGGTCCTGTGCAACAGCCTGCTGTTCCTGTTGTCCTGCTTGGTCCCTTCCATCTCTCTCCCCTGCTTCCCTCCTCCTTATTTATTGCTCCATCTCCCTGTTCCTGTGGTTCTCTACTCCATCTCCCCATCCTCTTCCTCGCTATGCTCCATTTCTCTCTCTCAACACCCCGTGTGGTTCCCCATCCCTCTCTTGTTCCCAGTAGCCCGTTTTCTGGCTCCCTGTCCCACACCTCTTCCCTACCTCCCTATGTCCTTCCTCCTGCTTTCCTCTTCCCTCTTTTCCCTCTGTTGTGCTGCCTTTGGGCACAGAGCCTTGTAGCCAACTCACTGCCAGAATTTCTGATGTGTGTGAAGGAACAAACCTTTGCTGCCTCCTTTGTGCTCCTGCATGTGTTTCCAGCTGCTGGGCTTGGGGTCAGAGACTGTAGTTGGGTCCAGGGGAGAGGGTGATGTGATGTGCTGTGGGGCTGGGGTGATGGCCCCCTGTTCCCAATGTGCTCCAGCTGTGGGCTGGGGCAGCCCAGGTAGGATCCATGAGGTGAGGATGGGGCTGGGCCAAGGGTTTAAAAAGGCTGCGGGTGGGGATGGGCCAGGGCAGCACCAGGTGCAGCCAGTGAGGCTGAGGATGGGGCTGGCCCTGCTGTGCCGAGGGGCTGTATCTGGGGAGGGGGCTGTCTGGGCATGCCTGCCTACAGGAGCTGGCTGAGGAGTGAAACCAAGCGGCTTCCACAGGCAGCTGCCTCCAGCAAGGAATGGCTGGTCGGTCCCCACAGCAAGGAAGGATCCCTCCCAGCCATCCCCGACAGAGCGTACCACCAGCACATGGTGCCGGGAGCTCGGTGCCTCTGGTGGCTGCACACTGTCACCTTCTATGTTTCCTTTCTGTGCCTCTCCCTTTCTGGCTCCTTACCCACTATCATTTCATTCTTCCCACGCTGCCTTCTTCCCCATTGCTTGTGAAAATTGCATTTCCAGGTCTCCCTCTACCCAAGCCACCTGTCTCTGCTTTCAGTGATTCCCTCTGCTCTGCACCCTGTCACTCTTCCTGTGTCCTTTCCCTGTGGCTGTCTGTCCGGTTCCCTCTCCTGATATTTCACTTCTTACCTGTATGGCCGGTACCCTGTTGCTTTCTAAATTTTCTCCCTATGTCTCCATTTATCCAGTTCCCTGTCTGTGTTTTTTATTTCTTCCCGCCTGTCCTCTACTTCATCACTTTTTTTAAATTTTGTTCCAATGTCTTCATTTATTTAGTTTGCTGACCTTATATTTTATGTTTTTCCTCTCTGTTCTTAGTCCCTTCACTTTTTAAATTTTCTTTCTCCATCTCCATTTTGGTTTGCTGTTGCTACTGTTTAATTTTTTCTTATGTACTTAATCCCTGTGACTTTTAAAATTTTCTGTCTGCTTTTATTCTATTCGCTGTCTTTATTTTGCTGTAGTTATGTTTTGTTTACTGCCTTTCCTTAGTGCAGTTGCTTTTAAAATTTTCTTTCTATGCCTCCATTTTAGTTTGCTGTCCCTATTTCGTATTTTTTCCTTTATTTCCCTAATGCCTATTGCTTTTTAAATGTTCTTTCTATGCCTACTTTTATTCCCTTTATGGTTTTCTTAAAATGATTTCTTGTCTTTCCTTAGTGCTGTAGCTTTTTAGATTTTCTTTCTGCATCTGTTTTAGTTTGCAGTTACTATTTGTTAATTTCTTATTTCCTTACTCCCTAGTGCTTTTAAAATTGTCTACTTTTATCCAATTTGCTGTCTTTATTTTCCTCTAGTTATGCTTTGTTTCTTAGTGCCCTTGCTTTTTCAACTTTCTTTCTCCATCCCCTTCAGTTTGCTGTCCCTATTTTTTTAAATTTCTAATCCCCCCACCCCCCCACGCCGCGCGCTCGCTGCTGCCCCCAAACGACCAGGAGTCGGTTCTGA